AGTTTATAGAAGAAGGTGTGAGTACATTTATATTGGTTCTGACTAGATCTAATTTATATCCCGAGTGCTTGTACATTCTCCTCAGCATTACTCTGCAGAACAATGAATTCCCATCTCCCTAGTAAATAAGCTACGTGCAGTGTTAAAATTATCAGACAGGTATTTGTCAAACAAAAAAATAGAATTAACACTAAGCTCTAACCAATACTTAGTACTGCTACTCTCAGCTGTGCCTCCTTTTGCTTTCCCCCCCCTCAATTACAAAATTCAAATCAATAAGACTACTCACAAGAATCAAGTGGTAGGATCACACCCTTAATCATTAGCCTTTGATAACTGCCTCAGCCTGGGTGTTACCAATTTGTCACAGAGACGACCAGACCTAAAGATACAGGAGGTAATACTCGCTTACATAAAGATTTTGAGAATACATGCATAAATTGTGCACATGATAAAAGATGTTGCAGTAAAACCAAAGCTATTAATTATGTAGTTCTGCATTAAGTCCTGTAGGCACTAGATTTCAGTGGAAGATGGGTGGAAAAAAAACCCCAAAAAGCAACAGGCAAGTCATCAGCTTTAGGAAAGCCAGAATCATTTGTCCCCCCTTCCCAATGGAAAAAATTTGTGTCAGTCATTACATACCACCAGACAAGAGTAAGGTCTTAGTTAATTTTTACAGCATTATATTCATGGTTAAAAAAAAAAAAAAAAAAATCACCCCCATTTCTTTAACTCCCATTTTTGCTCTCCCTCTATGTTTCTGTGTCAGCCTCCTTTCTGTTAGCCAAACAGAGGTATCTAATATAGAAACTGATAACTGCAAAACAAGTGTCCTGTTGGCTTTGCCATACTACTACAAGCTTACCAGCAATGAGGATAGTGCCTTTTACAGAAACTACAACATCAGTCCCAATACAGAGTGGTAGAAACAAAACTGATCCTGCCTCCTGGGAATACAAGCGTCTCTAGAACAAAATTACAAGGAAAGGTTAAAGAGCACGTTCAAAATAAGAATATAATCTGAGTAGCATATAACAACAGAACAACCAAGAATATAATTATTAAATAGTTCTGTCAAAAATGCCTATTAATCATCTACCGAACAGGAGAGGCTGATCTTTGAGTAGTATAACATTTTCATTCCTGACAAAATGACTGAAATAGTACTAAATCATTAATATGGGCAGATGCTGATTTAGAACAGGAATAGAGCACTGTGCTTAATCAGAAGTGGCTGTCATTAAGACATTTAGTAAGAAATTACTTCCCACTTTTCTACTCATCCTCTACATATGATTGTTGTAATAGAAGTTTGTGCAGAGTCTAGTGTTTGGTGGAAGCTGTATACACAGTAAGGGATCTAGCAAGGTTGTGAAGCCTCCACACTTAAGAGTTACACAAAATTCAGCTGGACATACTTTATTCAGCTGGACTAGGAACGGGCAGAGGCATCCTTTTATCATAACAAACCCTACTAATTTGAGAAATTAGATTTTGTTCAGTTAGGCGAAGACAAAAAAGGTAACAAGAAGGGTTAAGGGCTCTCAACATCTTTGGGTATTGCCTATACAGATACTATACTTACCCTGTCCATAATATGCTGAAGTTGCGTAAATGTACTAGCATTGCTCTATAGTTAATAAGTTTCATCCCGGTTTAGCTGGGGATCAGTGCTGCACTCCTATAGTCACGTGTTTATCACTTCACTTACTGAAATACAGTCTAAAAAGTTCTGAAGAAATACACAACAAAGCCTGCATGCTGAAAGGATTAAGTGCAACAGACAGAGTATCTTTTTGGGTAGCAGTCCTGAAAACCCTACTGTTCAGTCAGCTGTTTAACTTCCCACCCCCACATGCAGTAGATATTAAAACAAGGAATTAAGTTTAGATGTCCTACAGGCCATCTCCAAACACACGATATCTATATAAACAAAAAATTAGTTATGTCTAAAGAGGCAAATTGTGTTTGCTTCCCTACTATACTAATTTAAAATCTCGAAACAGCAGGAAACTTGATAGGTCTTACATATACATTATCACAGAAATATTTTAAAGGAAACTGATCAGAGGCATTGGAGACTACTCTGCAAATCTAGCCCTCCATCCTTGTGCTTGCTTTACAGACCACACACAAATGCAGTGGAAGAAACAACCTAAAATAATTTCTGTGAGTTCAACAGGAATGCTCACATAATCACTGGAAATGCTCTTAATTGGTGTGGCTCAGTGGTGCATTTCAGAGCTGTTAGATCCTCTGCCGCTGTGGAACTCTTTTCATGTCCTGGCAATCACAGTCCAGCCAGCAGTTTGTTTATCATATTCAGTATGAGTTTCCGGATCTCCAACAAAGTGGTATTTACTCCGAGGCAGGGAAGACTGCAGTAATCCAATAAGTTCTCATTAGCCTAAAATGCAGAAACATCTGCCGGGGTCATGAGCTGCTTACTTGCTGTTGATGAGCAAAGATTCAGCCCCATTTGAAGCTAGTGTGAACAAAGAATTGCAGGGTTGGGGCAGGGGGGTGGTGGTGAAGAGACAAACGGGCCTCGATTATCTCCTGGGCTGCAGCTCACTATAGCGCACCACAGGCAAAGAGGGATGCTCCCCTGCGTTGACCCCTGGTGACCCTATCGCAGAGGACGCAGGAGTTGCACCAAAAAATGCTTTGACTCAGCCCTCCTGAGCTGGTGGTCAAAATAGTCAGGCAACATCAGTATAACTGAAGAGAATGTGGTCAGAGCACCCCAAGAAATACAAGAATCCAGGCAGGGCAGTCTGTGCAGTGCAAACCTAGCTTAAAATGATCTTTGCCAATTGTTTTTTAGACAATTAAGAGAATTTTGCAGAGGACGAGTACTTAAATTTCTGTGCTCCCCCCTTCCCACCCAGGCTCTCAGACCTAGCTGGCTCATTTCACAATTGCTTTCAGTTTTTGGAAAAGAAAAGAAGCCCTTCAATCCCCCCCCCAAAAGAGCACTTTAGGACACATGATTGTGAACAACTGGTAAATAAGAACTTCTGGCCTAAAAACCTAATACATAGGTAATAAGTATTGCACAAGTTCAGATAGAACATAAATCTATACTGATACAAGTTACAGAAGAGAGAACACTATTAATTCTAGGTTAAAAACAAAACACCAAGAAGAGATTGATAACCTGAATAAAGAGAGCCCTTAAATTGTTTAGGACTCCAAACAGATTCAGAGCATGTGACATTGTCAGAAAATAAGTGGAAAATACAAAATAAGTGGTGTCATATCTGTTTAGCTCCTGCTCCAGTGATTCTGCAGTTCTTTGTTGTTGTTTGTGCAGTGTTAAATATGACAGCATCTAATGTCTGTGGCTGTTTCAGGGTGGAGGAGCCTGAAACACTTCTGCAAAGAGCCAGAACAGAACCACTTAGAGCATTCAGAAAAATCAAGATAGAAAAGTCTCAGTTCAAAATAGTTTAAAACCCTTTCCTGGAGAGGCTGAGCTGCTTTACATAACACTTGTTCTACCATTTGTACAAAGAATTACACAAGTGTTCAATTTAAGGAAGAGAATGGCCAGAATGCTCAAATCAATGCCAATGATTCTTCAGAAACAAGGAGTGCACATCCCCGAGCACTTTATTGTTTCGTCCATGCAGTTGGCCTTTAGCTCCAGGACTCCCACTGCCTTAGGCTTGTTGTGTGGATAACGACCGCCACCTGCAGCAGCAAGGATGAACTACTGCCCCCAAAGATTTAGAGCCTTTAACTGTGATGGCAGCAAACAGAACCTTTCTCTGCCACCCATCTTCAGGGAAGAGAACTGATAACATTCCGCTTCACTTTATACTGAACATTCATATTGCTGTCTGTTGCTTAAGCAACATTTGAGTATTTATACATACACATAATAATATCTCAATGGTAGAAAGTCACTTGACTGAAGAGGATGGGTTTAATTTAACAGTATTTCTTAACCAATAATTTTTTTAGACCAGCAATAAGGTCTACCATCAAGAAATCCTAGGAAAGACATTCTGACTTGTCTCTGTGCAGAGACAGAATTATCAAGACACTACAAACTTGATTTTCATTTCATCCCTCTGCCCTCATATTTAATAAGACCCCTCTTAACTTTCTGAGTCTCAGAATGACACACTTACAATAAGCAGGTTAGAGGCATGAGGACACACATCCTAGCAATTATCCAAACCTAGGAAAAACAGTTGTTTGACCAGCAGTTTCATCATACAGGAGTCTTTCTACCAGGATCTCCATCCACCAAACTAAACAGACTACTAATTTGCAGCTAACCTACGACTTGGCTGCTTAGCAAAGTTCCCCATCCAGTGGCCAGCTTCGTAGGTGCAGCTCAGATCCTGGCCAGAGCGTGATCCTGCTGCGTGCAGCCTCTACAACTTACAGACAGAATGGCAGCACACACAGATGAACTATTGGGGCAGTTCATCTAACATGTTTGAGGAAGAAGAAATAACAGATGAATATCTTCAAATACCTCCTTGCTGTCCTACTGGCTCATGGATAATTTGCCGAGAAAATGAGACTGATGAATATGCAAGAACAGTATTAATAGTTTGTTATATATTGACTTCTCATCCAGTGCACTGCACAACTTACTGATCCAGTTGTTATAGCTTAATTTACTCCTAATTTTTAATAAAAGGAGACAAGAATCTAGTCTGACCTTAGTAATACCAGGAAGAAAGCCTGAATGGCACTTCAAGGAGTGCAAGTAGAATGCTCCAAGGGCTTTTTGAGCAGCCCAAAAGGCTTTACAAACACAGCGTAAATCAGAAATATAACACTAAGCAGAAAATACAAAGCAAAGCTTTCGAAAAACCATCACAGAAAGAGGTTCCACAGGTAAAAACCATACAGGATACAGCATGTCTTTCAGAGAGAAATGCATTCCATGCACAAAAATGGAGAGCATGTGGAAAAAACCTGCCACATCTGGCGTGTGTGTTCATAACAGAGCACACACTTTCTCAGGCACTTACTCAGTACTCCGGTTTGATGTTTCTCCCCACATTCACACTCTTCTGGCCTCAGCACTTTGGGTGCCTGCAGGTCATGGCTTGCCACTGGGACTGGTTAGTGCCTGTAAGTCCATCACTGCATATATTGTGTAGCATTAGCTCTATGTAAGCCCAGATGGAAACAAAAGCTTCTGTAGGAGATCAGTGAAGATATTCAAACATGAAGGCTATTGATATAGCAGTGGAAAATAGTCTTTATTATTAAAAAAAAAATAAATAAAGTCCTTAAAGAGGTGTTTTGTAAATACAAAAGCATTATGATTTTAATAATTTGTTTCTGAGATAATTAGGCAACAAGTTACCAAAACATTCCACTCGTTACAAGCGAACAGGCTCCTTCCAATCATCAGCCTCACTACTTGCTACCCACATAGCTTTTCGTCTCAGCAAATCCAGAAATAAGGGACAATTAAGAGTTCCTTGAGAAGTTTTTCACCGAGTGACCAATGACCATGCTGTACATTCCTACAGATCCTCCGGATGAGATCAGCAAACACACAGCACCACATACACAGTTCCACACCTACATTCTGATATGTTGCCCTCTAAGGAACATTACTTCAGAAAGAGATGCAAATCAGTGCACCTGAAGTCAGTTCCAAGAAAGTAAACCACGAAGTTCAAGAACACATAGGTCATATTTGCTAAGAATAACATTTCTTATTCTTTGCCTTTCAGTATTGTCAAGGCAGAAATGATGGAAGGGGTCACAAATTCATGTTAAAGAGAAAAAAAAAAGGTGTCTCCTTATGGGACAGCATGCAGAAGAAAACTCGACTTCTTACATTAGTAAGCATACATGCTGCTGGTTTCATATTCTGGTATCACTGAAAACTTGGACAAGTTATATGTTCATACAAGAAGTAAAAAGATAACAAGTCTGCTGGCATTGATTTAGTTCGCACACATTAGTAAAACAATACACAAACTTAGTTGAAGTACCAGTGTTTCACAACATCTAGTCCGTGATTCTCTTCACATATTCTTTGGTTATGCAGAGAAACTTCTTTACTAACTTCAAACGACAGGTTTTGCACTTGTGTGAAGCTCCTGGAACAAATTAAACAAGCTAAATCAGTTACTCTGGAGGGTAACAACTTTTGCTTAACCTCAAAGGCTACGTGCCTCGACATTCGCATCATTCTCCTACCATGCAGCCACGAGAAGGAGGAAAAAAAAAAAAAAAAAAGTAAAATGTGAATTTTCTTCCCAAGGGCTAAAATTTGGAGGAGAGGAGGGTCAGTTTGCAGGAGAGGGAGATGCGTGGCTTTACAGTCTATTAATCTTCAAAGATTTTAGTTGTACTCTCTTCTGGGGAAATGAAGGAAGGAAAGGAAATTTATCATGGTTTATCTCTTCCTCATGGCCTCAGTGATACTTTGTATTTGTTGAGACAATACTCGAGGAAGAAAAACTTTTCTGTGCACCTTGTACCTCCTAAGGGATGATGTATTTGCATGGTTATTATTTAAGACATAGTGCTTCCACTGTTTCCTGGTGTTCTCCACTCTCCTACATATTTGTACTTTACCAGGCCTATTCTTGCGCACTGAAATCCTCAGCCAAAGTGTCAGTGAATGGCACATCAAAGTAGCTCACGTAGAATACACCAACCAAAAAAAACCCCAAGAGTATTTACTGTGGCTGTAGGTAGGGTAGGGACAGAAATACAGATGTCTTCTACGAACAGAATTAAACTTAGTGCTACTATCCCCTCAATTAATCCTCCTCCAATACACATTCTGGATATATTCTGGCAAGATGTACAGATTTTCCTCTAAATATTTAGCCAAGGAGTCTTTTCACCTGATTGTTGTAAATACCTTTGAAGCTCTTTATCCAGTTTCTGAGACACTTCTTTAAGCTCTTTCAGTACGCTAAATGCTTTTGAACTATCTTCTGAGCAGCTTGGCATAACTTCTGCCAGAAGTTCCTGTGTGATAGAGAACTGCTTTCGCAGTTCATCTACAATGTGAGATATTAAAATATTATTAAAAATGCACACAGTGGCATCAGTTAATGCAAGATTACTGAATAACTGGAGTAACCAGAGAGACAGGTGAACTCTATGATGGAAAATTACTGTTTGTTCAGCTTTCACAAACACACCATGAGAAAACTGTGAAAGCCAAATTACTTTTAGCTATGAAGACTAACACCAGCAACAGGCTATTAAAATTGCTAATCAAGCTCTCATTTAGAGTACCTCCAAGATTTTTTACAAGACAAATACAAGAGAAAAAACAAGTTTTAAACATCCAAAATTCCCTGGCCGGTTACATATTGCTATTGGCATGAACCCCCAACATGAAATTTATCCAGTCCTTTCCTTTAGCATTCACAAACCAAAAATCTATCTTTATTTCCTTTCAAGCCTTCTTACAAGAATTTTATGTTCTTCAATAAATCTTTTCCATTTGTTTTAAAGTGTAAGTAAGGTTATTGTAAATGGTTTAAAAATCTCGTTTCTTGCAGACCAGTTTAAAAATGTAACTTTTTGTCCAGGCTTCAATACAAAACACAAGTACAATATATTAAGCAATTTATTGTTATTGTTAATACTTGTTATTATACAAGTAATTTATTAAGCAAACATTCTGTGACAAAAGACATCACACAATATATTTAAGCTCTAGTTCTACAGGAAACATGAGCAAGTCTACCCATGTGACTTTATCCCTCAAACACAGAAACAAGAAGAGATCACATTATTTCTACAACTCTACGAAAGATACAGAAACTTGCTAAAGAAAGCATATATGAAGACTGCTCTAGTTGAGAAAGTTAATTTTTTCCCTGCTGCAGGATAAAAAAAGTGTACAGCTTAGTGGTTAAATGGAGACAAGAATTATTCATAGCAAAACATGTGACTAATGTTGCAGCCCAGTGTCCATACAAGCTCTAAGAGCACACAAAATTCCTCCAGTGGCCACAGATAGATCTAGTAATAACAATGTCAGAATTTTAGCACACCAAAACCCCACCATTTCTGAAAGTAAATGTGATTAATCGAATTTTCATACCAAGGTACGTTAGCATATCTCCTTCTATGTGAATATTCTTTATGGGTAATTCATGTCTAGTGGCATCCAGGGAAACTGCAAAGCTTTTATATTGCTCTTTAAACTGTTCACAGACAGGAACAAGGGGAGAAAGCACTTCCATCTGAAAAAGACACATGATGAACCAACACTTCTTCAGAAGGACCCATTTTGTAACTACACACCCGGCTCAGTACAGAAAAATAATTTATAAAAAACCCCAAATACCACTCTGAAATGCTTGTTGACAGAGGAATTCAAGAAGTTTGTGGTATGATACTCCTACCATGCTATTTAATAGGTTTTCCTCTACCACCTCAGAGCACCTAGGTCAATACCAGCTTCCTTGTTACTGTAGCTCAGAGGTATTAGCAACATAGGAGGTAAACTGTTTTATATTTGATACTTTGACTGTAGTTAGCAGTGTATTCTCCAAAAGACAGAAGTATTTTTTAATTTTTGCGCTGCATATTTGTTAAAAGCAAAGATAGGTTCAGTTTTGAAAATTTATTCAAATATTAATTATACATTAGAAACTTGCCTTCTTGCAAGCAGGCCAGAACTATAGCTGTCTAACAGATAAAAATAAGACAGATAAAGAACAGCAGATGTTCACTCCTCATCTAAGGGTTCACATCTCAGCCCTAGCCATATCTGTAATTGCGTAAGTGCAGAATGTTCGCATGGTTTTAAGATACTTGCATCTCCTGCGCATCAACTATAAACTGCCCTGGTAACCAGTGTGCTACTGCTGCCCCTTGCTTAAGAGCTCTAACCTCTCCTTCCTGCCTATCCACAAGGGACAACAAAAAAGTGACAAAGGCATTTGCTTAGGTTACTAGAGAGCATTACATGCCACAACAGGAAGAATATATTTATTTTGTTTAAGATGCATAAAATCGTACCCCAGCAGGCCACAGAAGCAGACAAATCTTCTCTGGATTCTCACTTCATAAGAGAGCTTGTTTAAATATAGGAGAAGCATAAATTGTAATAAATCCTACCTGTTTGTCTAATGCATCGTCAAGTTTCTGTTCTCTCTCTTTGAGTAGAATTTCACGCTTCAACTCACAGAGCTTCTCCTCTTGTCTCTCCTTTTCTTCACATAACATTAACAAGTTTTTTTCTGCTTTTTTCTCCAGCTCAGCAAGATTTTTTCCTGCCTATTACATCCAAAAAATATTCACAACTAAAGTAGTGCTACGTGTAAGTAATTAACACATTCTGAATAAACAAACTTAAGCCTCAGACCAGGTCAAAGAGCTTCAATTAATGAATCAGAAGTCTCCACATTAAGCACGGTACATTACAGTTACCCCAACTCCATCTTCTTTCCCCATCCCTGCTAATATTTTTTGCAAATAATATTTTGCAAATTTTGCAAATACACATACAGCACTGAGTGAACAAAAAACAAAGTCACTGCTACAACCCTGAATTCCAAACACTCTCTCATGGGTTTCCTAAAACTTCTACATACCCCTACTTCATGAGGAACCGGCACCAGCTTAATAAACTGGCACTGAATTCATTCTAAGAGAACTTCAAAGCAAGTCATACAGTTTTACAATCATAAAAATGTAAAGTCACAAAAAATCTAACTTCTACAGATCAGAAAGCCCAGACAAGAAAGGAAACAATTTCTCAGTATCAAGTTCTTCTATCTGAAACACCAAATAATTGACCGACTCTCACCTTTAACCTTAGGTAAGTTAAAAGCAGTGTCTGAGATTCCAGCTCTTCCATCAGAGCATCAGAATCATTTTCCTTCAGAAAAGAAAAGAATACACTAGATCAATTTTGGTATTTAAACAATTATTTTTTCAATGTTCATATAAGTTACAGAAAGTCCAGTCTAGACTCATCATCAAGAGTCAACTCGATGAAAAAAGTTTGGGTTTTCACACAATGTGTGTTAATTAAAGATACCTCTGTTTCACCACTTGTTATAACATTTTCAGCAGATTTTCATAATACTGGTAGAGAACTTGAAGTTTCAGTGCTATGTAGAATGAGATTCCT